TTCTGAAGGGGCGGGGCCGCGGGGGGGGGGGGGGGGGGGGGCAGAGTTAGGCCTCGGCGGCGGCAGCGGGCCGGGAGACGTCCGGGGAGAGGCAGTCACGTCGCCCGAGAGGGCCGAGAACGCCGGGCCGCGGCAGAGCTTTTCCGGGGCTTCGTCTTCCCTACCTCGCGAGAAGTCGCACTGGGAGCTCGGGTGAGTTGTTGTTGTTGTTGTTGTTGTTGTTGTTGTTGTTGTTGTTGTTGTTGTCTTCACGTTAAGAACCGTTCCGGTCTCCGCTCGGTATCTTGTGGTATGTGGGTGTGCAGGCCAAGAGCTTGGCGGTGATATGTTGTCATCGTTGTTGTTGTTGTTGTTGTTGTCTTCACGTCAACAACCGTTCCGGTCTCCGCTCAGTACCGTCTATGGCTGGCAGAATGGGTGTTACTGCTTCGTTCCTCTTTGGCCTCGTCGTTAGTGGTAGTGCGGACTATATACTGGCTTGTCGCGAAAAATCCACGGAGCATTTAGTTTCGTTTTGGGATGCGGGTCGACTTTTTGCTCTGGTGCGCGCGTGGAAACTCATGCGGTGGGTGCGACACGACAAGACCCGGAGGAGGCGGCATGGTAGCGACTTCTGAATACCGTGTAACTGCTGTTTTTGCGATGGGCTCCGAAGTTTGGCGACGGTGTTGCACTTTTGCTGGTCCGCGGTGTTGCTGACTCTTTTCGATTGACACGTGTGTATTCCCGTTAGTCTATAGCCCGTAGTTTAGCTGCAAGTACCGCCGCAGCGTGTCACGTTCGCTAGCGGAAATGCAGCGTGTGATAATATTGCTGCGCACCATAATGTGACGCGCTCCGACTCCTCTCAATGCTCGCGTAAAATGTTCCGCGATGGACGGCCTTACGCCAACCGGCAGTTCGGACGCGGAGTTGTTGCCTGGCAACATGACGCCGACGAATGCCTCGCCGATGAGAGATAATGGTGACACCAAGGACCTCAGCGGGAGCGCCGGCGCCAGCAGTCTGAGCGGCACGGGCAATAAAGATCTTAGCCGGTTCGGGCGAGCGAGGAAGGTAAGCGATTGGTAATATTAATAATAATTATGAAAACGGTTGCAGGTGGAAGAGCGGGGGCACCGCGATATCATCGACATGTAGAGAGAGATATAGAGAGAGGGAGACAGACACGGAGAGGGAGACGGGGACAATGACAGAGACAGAGACAGAGACCACGGATATTACATACGATGCCGCGACCGACCCGCACGACACGGATACATGACGGTAGCCTTTTCGGCCTTTTTTTTTTGTGAACAACTCCTTTACCCCCTCCCCCTCCGCGCCTTGTCAATGGTCTAACAACTAAGGCATGGAAAACGTTAGTACACCCACCTCCCGCTCCCCCGCCCGCTGCGCTCCCTTGTGAGTTTTTGGGGTGCTTGATCGATGCCGCTGGCGGTGAAGTAGCAACCGAGGGTGTGCGTGTCGGGCACGCCTCGCGGTGGTTACGCTAACGGGACCGGCCGCTTGGTTTGTTAACGTCGCAATGCTGTGCAAACGCGGTTCGAAGGCCTCTTGTCCCTCGGGACGTACGTGAGAGATAACATCAAGTGATTTCCGAAAACCTTTCGTGTCTGCGACGTATTGTGAGCGACAACATCGAGTGAATTGAGTGGTTGACTCAAGGGCTGAAGCAACGAATCGAACAGACCTGTCGTCAGCCAAGCCCCCCCCCCCCCTGCCAACCCCCTGCACCCTGCACTTGTTTCATTCTTCCTTTTTGTTTTTTTTTCTTCCGCACGTGGTTGTGGTTGATGACAGGCGGTCAAGAAACGCACGAAGGAGATGGATGCGGGAGCGGCGCACTTGAGGTCCATGCTCTCTGGCCATCTTGGACCAGATTTCGAGCAGGTATCAGGCAGGAGGATTCGAAAATGATACTACATTTATTTCTGCGCCAAAATAGTTGGTGTCCGTGTCTGTGTGAATAGCATCGACGGCGTTAACTGGCTGACCATTGAAAAGGTCAGTCTTGTAGCCGGATAGAAAAACAAACACTTTCTACGGACAAAAAGGGTAAGGGTAAGGATGAGGGTGCTACCGACAGAGGGGGGCGCACGAGTTGAACGGCAGCGTTAGCCTCGTGTGTCTTGCGTTCATTTCGGCTGTACGTGGTTGGCTCCAGGGATTCGGTGTTGCGTTTCTTTTTTGTTCTTTTTTGCTTCCCCTTGATGGCGGCACGCCGCTGATGCCAGGACCACACACCAAGCAGCACCAACAACGCCAACGCCCTCACGATGCCAATCAACAGCATCAGTAGAGCAACCGACAACAAGGACGACAAGCCCCGCTTTGCTCGATCTATCTGTACACCCGCCAACAGGTGATCTCGCTGCGGCGGATGCAGATGAGGGTCAAGATATTTCTCCGGAGATCACTCCTGGACGTCTACGACCACGAGGAAGGGGAGTCGGCCGCCGAAAACACAGGGTGAGACTAGAGAACGTGGCACAAAACAACGGGTTTAGAAGGCACCGTGCGAGAGAATATGAAACCAAACAAGTTTGGAACGCACGATATATGGGGGGGGGAGGGGGGGGGGTGCAGTGGGGCGCAAGGGGACCAAGGTAACCACCGGGTGAGACGATTTTACACGAAACAAGCTTGAACGCACGGTGAAAGCTCCTGGAGAGGGGGGAAGGACGGAAGGGTACCTAGGCTAGGACACGGGGTGAAAGGATATGAAACGAACGAGTTTCGAAGGCTTGTAGAGGGGGAGGGTTTGCGCGATGGTCAGTGGCAACGCTGGGCTCCTGGGAGCAACGATTCGAGCGTTTCGTAAGTAGTAAAGCCGGCCCTGTTTCGTTTGTTTCGCCTGTCGTCCCGCCCACCGTGCGTGACACACACGTTACGGTTTTTTAGCAACGCCGTCGGCCGCGTCGAAATGCAAGGCTGGAAGCACGGCCAGCCCCCCCGTTTTTTCGGGGGCTTCATCCAGTTTGGTCAAGGCGTTTTTTGTATAGGATTAAGTATGGGTGTTGTCGAGTGTATCATGTTGATCCAGTTTGGTCAAGGCGTTTTTTTGTTTAGGACTTTGGAATGGGATAGTAAATCCTACCATTTCTTTCATGTCGTATCTTCCCGACAGGATTGGAAAGGTGGTGGCGAACAAGGGCGGGCTGGTGTGCAAGCTAAGGCTCAGGGGCACTACGCTGTGCTTCGTCAGCTGCCACTTGCAGGTGTGTGTGTGTCCTCTGTCTGAACGATTTTTAGGGTCTTCGCTCTTTCACGACATGACTGAGGCCGCCGCCAATTTTGCAGTATTTCCCGCCGTAGTAATGATTTTGTTTTGTGTACGGCGGACGCACGAGGGGCGGCAGAACCTCCTTCCTCCCCGTACGGCGGAACCTCCTTCCTCCTCGTGCGGCAGAACCTCCTTCCTCTTCGTGCGGCGGAACCAGTCCCTCTACGCCAAGACTCTTGGCTCTTTCACGACAAAGAAGAAAAATATAAAAAGAACAGTATTGTCCATTCGAAACAACACGTCATCCAGTTCTGAATTCCCAACGGAATAGGTAAACAAATAGAGTAATTTCTCGACTTTTTTTTTTTGTTGGCACCGTCGCCGCTTAACTTTTTGATGTGAAAGGCCCACAAGGGGCGGCAGAACCACCTCGTGCGGTGGAACCAGTTCCTCTACGTCAAAAGTATTTCACTCCACGACAATACAAAAAAGATGCAGGAGGAAAGAAAGAACGAGCCATTACAATAACGACTTTCATTTTTTTTGCCACCGTTAATCTCAAATTAATTGATCTGGAAGGCGCACGAGGCGGCAGAACCTCCTCGCTAGACGGAACAGTTCCCTCTACCTACGCGAAGTCTTGGCTCTTTCACGATAAGAATCAATAATGCAAGAGGCAAGAAAAGCCTTAACGGCTTTCATTTTTGTTGCTATGTTTAACACTTTTCTCTTTGATCTGGAAGGCGCACGAGGGGCAGAATCACCTGGCGAGGCGCAACTCGTCTTGTGCGGAGATCCTGCAGGGCGCGCGGCTGGGGGATCGGCGGATGGTAGACGTGGACAGCCAGTTCCACCACGTGTTCTGGCTCGGGGACATGAATTACAGGATCAACCTGGGGCTTGGACTCCAACCGGAGGAGGTAAGCGTGTTTGTATGCATGGTGTGATAAAGCGTGTGCATCATCGCTACCCTGGGCTTCGCTCTGCTGCTGCTGCTGCTGCTGTTGTTGCAGAGACCGTTTCTCCGCACGGGCTGCTTCTTTCACTGGTTCGACGTGGGTGAGCACGCGATTCCAACTCTCCTACTGACGACATGGCCGCTCCAACCCCAAGCATCACTCTCTCACGCTATCTCAATCTCTCTCTCTCTCTCTCTCTCTCTCTCTCTCTCTCTCTCTCTCTCTCTCTCTCTCTCTCTCTGTTGCGGTCTTTGTCGAAGGCCTGCCGTCTACAGTTGCCTAAAAGAAACGCCTGGCTAATATTGACGGCAACCCCCACCCCGCCCTGCTCTATTCTGTTGCAGCAACACGCACGGGTGTCCGCCCTCGTCGAAGCAAGCGATTGGCCCAGGCTATGGGAGGCAGACGAGCTGCTGAAGGAGCTGAGGGCGGGGCGCCTGCTGGCGGGTTTCCAGGTAATCGCCGTACTGTACCACTTTCATGCCGCATACCGTAAACCGTACCGGCGAACACACACAGGGGTGCGATCGATTTCTTTTGATGGATTGCTCCAAAACCAAGAGGGTGCCAGACCCGACCGACAGGGGCAAGGAACGATAGCTCTCGATATGATTTACCTAAGATATCCCTGTTGCTGCTGGCAGCTTCTTTAGTGCGATGAGTTGGCGTGTTGGCCACTCTTCTCCGTCCGCGGCCATATCGCCGCCGCCTTCCCCACGCTCTCTCCTCCGTTTTTTTTGTTCGCCGACGTTGTTGTCGATGCTTGCTGGTATATATCGTCGTACTTGGTTGGGTATACGCGTCCACCTCTAAGGCGTTCCCGTGTCCATCGCCTGTGCACCCCTCTTCATGCTGTTTTTTTGCCAGAGAACTGAGAACTTGCAATTCCCTTCGCGTCACCCCCCCCCCCCCCCCCCACGCCCCCGGGAAAACGAACCCCCCCCTTTTCCCCCTACCTTTAAAGGCCTCCCAAGGGAAAACAGCGGG